GAAGGAAGGAAGGAAGGAAGGAAGGAAGGAAGGAAGGAAGGAAGGAAAAGGGAATAAACAAACAAAACATCCACAAAACTACTAAGTGTAATTAGATATTATAGAAAAAGAGATGTGTTGGTCTATGGCGGTGTTTCTCCATCTTGTGAACTTTCAGGTGTGTGGGCTTCCAGTATGTCCACGTATCTTAAAACGGCCGCAGTTGGGGAACACTGCCTCAGCCTAACAAATTCTCAGGGCCTTTTCAACCCAGCAGATTTTAAAGAATGGGGCTGGCTGATCCAGATGGGAAGCGTTGAAATCATACACAGCTTTGTCCTCTCTCTCTTTTTACAACCAACAAAGCAAACCATAATCTTGTTTTTTTTGTCGTTGGAATATTCCCTCCTGGTGAGCAGGTCGCTCTGAGGTCATTTCAGAACCATTTTTCAAGTAGTACGGGTGTCTGTTCACATTCGAACTCGGCACTGACGCGTGTTCAAAAAAACCCCTGCTTTCTCATCCCCAAGACAGTTCTTACCTGCTCCCCAAGAGAGTGTATGTCCAGGGGTGTCAAATTCTGGAATCACTCGAATTCCGCGCAACCTGGCGTATTCAATCACCATTTTCACATCGCTAGCAGTGTATACGTGAGTGGCCGAGTTATAGGATCCCTAAAAATATAAACATACCTTTATATATATATCAAAGGTTCCTATTGAATGGCAAGTCAAGGTAGAGTGAAGGAGCTACATCCTTCAAATCTTATACCGACGGGAGGACTATGGCTTGCTGGCTGAGATCTCGCTGTGACTAAAGCTCAGAAATGTTGCTGGCCCTCAAATAAACTGAGTGTCAACTCATAAAATATTTCTATGGTCTTTTCAGAGTTGCCAACAGAAAGGGAGGGGGGAAAGGGGTTTGAAAGAGCAGTGCGGCAGCTTGGAAATCGAAAGTGCATTCCGTAAATAGTTTTTTTTCAAAGATGACTGAAGTTCCTGCCGCACAATTATCTAACTGGAGAAGATGATTGGTGACTCTGGGCTATGGATGTGTCCCATTGGAGAATATGAATTATGATACACCCAGAGGGGTGGGAGGAAAACCAGGCTCAAGGGTGAGGGTGAATGATGTGCCTCAGAGTTGGCTACACACAGGCAGTGCCGGCATGCTAAACTCCCAATAAATCCATTTGAAGTTTTGGAAGTTTGGCTCGAGACTCATGATTTAACTGGGGGCAACTGCCGGAATCCTGACACCGAGGTACTTCCAAGTAGCATGCAACAATTGCAACCCCCTGTAAGAACATCACGGTCTATGCCAACTTCTTGTCTTGATGTAGAAATCTTTTCTAGAAAAGATGGTCAGGAATGCTTGCGTGCCGCATGAATGTTATCTCGCACGCCTAGAAAGGACCGCTGAGCCCCGAAGACAGAACTCCAGGCAACAGATCTTCAGCTTCCTTTGGGAGAAGAACGCTGCAAAAGATGGCCTTTTTTTGCCCATTGCTGTCATCACAAATTGAGGGACAGGGGTTCAAAGGCCTCCCTGGGACACGAGGAATTGTTGCGGTTCTCCAGGAGGAGGTGCAGACGGCAGAGGTATCGGACAATTGAGGACGAAAGGGAACCAGTCAGGGTGTCTGGCGAGGACTTGGACGAAGGTCCTGCATCTGATGCAGGGATGGGACCAGGACCATTTGGGAGTGGGGTGCTGCCTCTGGAGTCTGGCGGCAGCGAAGCAGAGGACCCCGGGGATCCTGTTCCCAGTGCGCGTGTGTGCAGGGCTGCTAGAAGGAGAAAGCAGCTGAAGCAGCAGGGGTGACTCGGGAGTAAGGCTAGGAGGTGATTGCCCCTTCCATAAGGGATAAAAGTCAGCCCTCGGGGATGTACTCTTTGCAGGAAGCAAAGAAGTTCATTAGACCCTGATTCCTCATTGAAGCCCTGCGAACTCTGGTTTGTCTTCGCTGGAACTTCGGTCGATTGATATTTCTCAGTCATTGGACTCCTGTTTGTTGGCAGCCTTTTACAACCCTGAAAGGAGTGCTCTTATCTCAGACAATCGTGTTTAAATGAGTTTTGGCTGGGAATGCAAAGAATTCCCAGGGTTGCATTGAGAAAGGTTTGCTTTTACACACAGCTTGTGTGTTTCCTCGATTTGAACAAAGCCTGGGTCAGAACAGGAATCCCCTCCACAAGCCAACAAAATGGCAGGGGGTTCAGTGGGAGAAGTTTGACCTGCTCACCTTCGAGCTGAGATCTGGGAAGACCATGCTTTCAAACGGAAACGACGGGTCATCCACAATGTGCCAGTGGAACACGTTAAATTTGTTGTACGCCATGGCATCCTGAGGGAACGAGAAGAGGTTAGCCAAATCTGCTGGTTCCCTTTCCTTAGCAAGAGTAGTGAGATGAAACAAGAATTCAACTACGGCTCAGAAAACCCGCAGAGGCCGTTAAGATATTCTGAAGACTAAGAAGTCTTCTTCGCCCATTACACCTCACCCTGAAATATTGCTCTTTTCTTACACTGTAGAGCAGGGCTTCTCCACCTTAGCAACATCCAACTCCCAGAATTCCCAATCTTCCATGTCTGAATGGAGTCCAACCCTAAACAAGAACACTACACTGATTGTCCTACCATGTTTCCCCAAAAATAAGACTCTTATATATATTTTTTTTGCCACCAAAAAAGGCATTAGGTCTTATTTTCAGGGGGATGTCATCCACTGACTAACCTGACTTGCATGCGTTGCCCCCGGCCTCTTTTTTTTTTGCTGCCAGAGGCCTTCAAGAACTTCTTCTGAGGCAGGCAAGGCTTTCCCTGAAGGCTTCTGCAGCTGATAACAGAGCTCTGGATCGATCCGGAGCTTTGTTTTCAACTATAGAGGCCTTCAGGAAAACCTTGCCAGCTGCAGAAGAAATGGGCCATCAAGGCAGGTGTTGGGGTGGGCGAGGCCTGGCTACAACTATCCAAAGGTAAGTAGTAGGGCAGCTCCACTCTCCCATCCCCACCCTAGCTTAATTTTTACCCATGCACCCTGGGGTGAGTGGGATCTTAATTAGGGCTTATTTTGGGGGTAGGGTTTATATTGGGCGCACAGGTAAAAATCAAGCTAGGACTTACTTTCAGGGCAGGTCGTATTTTCGTGAAAACAGGGCACCAATCCTCCCATTACAAGTGCAGACATGAGGACACTTCCTCGCACTGACAACACAGAGCCACCTGAGCATAAGAGGAAAACATCAGAAGGTCCCAAGGTTCGTGGAAGGAAGAAGATGGTGATGATAGTCGGCCGATATAACAGCATGCTCATCAGACGCAAGATCTCTCAGGATCTTCTAGACTGCTTCCAGGTTCACCTACCAGGGTCTCCAGGATGGCTCTCAAAGGCAGAAAATGGCGAGACGTGTCAAGGAGCAGACCTCGGTGAGGGAAGCGAGGGAAATCAACCACAACCGTCTTGTTGAGGTAGAACTATAGGAAGGAGAAGATAACACAGTTGACCCAATGTCCAGCATAGACTTCTCCCAGGGATCTTGCCTTCTCTAATGGGAGTGAACAATCAGGCCGCCTGTTTGGAGGACTGAACAAGCTCTTCGAGAATTCAGACCTAGGATTTATGAGATGCCACACAATTTTCCCAGGCCCCATGTTAAGCTGGAAAGTTCTTTGAAGAACAAAGTAACAACTAGCAAGCTGAATTGCAAGTGATAGCTCAAATTAGATCAAACTTCAGACTGGAAGGATAAAATGGGAGGGGAGGGAAGGGAGAGGAGAGGGCATTCTTTATTGGCCAAGTGTGATTGGACACACAAGGGATTTGTTTCTGGTGCATAAGCTCACAGAATAAGCCAAGGGTCTTTAAACTTGGCAAGTTCAAGACTTGTAGACTTCAACTCCCAGAATTCCTCCTCCAGACCTAGACAACCTAGAACTACGCCGCCTTCGGTCCAATCTGAGTATAGTATATAAAATCATACATTGCAATGTCCTACCGGTCAATGAATACTTCAGCTTCAACCATAACAACACAAGAGCAAACAATAGATACAAACCCAAGGTTAATCGCACCAAACTTGATTGCTGGAAATTCGACTTCAGCAAGAGAGTGGTCGATGTCTAGAATACTCTACCTGACTCTGTGGTTTCTTCCCCAAACCCCAAAAACTTTAACCTTAAGACTGTCTACTGTTGACCTCACCCCTTTCCTAAGAGGTCTGTAGGGGGCGTGCATAAGCGCACCAATGTGCCTACCGTCCCTGTCCTATTGTTTCTTTTATTTTTCTTATATGTATTCATTTCATGTATTTATAACTATGCTTATCCTTATCCTTATCATCTTGTAAGCGATTGACAAATCAAATAAATATAAAATATAAATATACAGTTACGCCCAAACAAAGCAATTAACCACAGAAGTTGCAAACCCCTCCCTAATACCCCCTACTCACTGTCCCAACTTCGTCCCTCCAGGAAAGCTGGCTGAAGGTCTCCAATCCTATGCAACAAAGCAGAACAACATCCATCAAACCAAAAGTCAGCGCACCAAGCTACCAAGGCAGGGATGGAAAACTGTCCCCACCTCTCGTCTTACCTCTGAGGGCGCCCCAGATATTGGGGGCTGTGAGTAGCATCAGATCCACCGAAATGCTGAGCTTATCTGGAAGTTCATTTGGAGAAAAAAACAAGCAGTCGAGTTAAGAATTTTTTTTTAAAGTTTGGAAGCTGGCATTCTGCAAAAACCTCACCCCTTTCCTAAGAGGGCTGTAGGGGGCCTGCATAAGCGCACCAACGTGCCTACCCTCCCTGTCCTATTGTTTCTTTTTATTATTCTTATATGTATCCATCTCATGTATTTATAACCATGTTTATACTTATATCTATTATCTTATAAACGATTGACAAATCAAATCAATAAATACTTTTTATTAGGAGTGAGGATTTATAATTTCAGGGGTTGCTTTGGGAGCAGGCGGCCTGCACAGACTAAAACTGGGAAGCTGCCCTAAAATCTGGACAGCCATTTGGGGTTGTTTAGAAGAGGTCCAGTTTTGGTCCCCATGTTACAAAGAAGACGGGGAGACTTTGGAGAAAGTGCAGAGAAGATGATTAAAACAGACTAAAACATATGAAGAACAGTTGGAGGACCTGGGTATGGCTAAAAGAAGGACTAGGGGTAACATGACAGCAGTATTCAAGTATTTGAGGGGCTGTCACAAAGAGGAGCGGTCAACTTATTTTCCAAAGGACCAGAAGGCAAAAGAAGAAACAATGGATGAAAACTAATCAAGGAGAGAAGCAACCTGGAATTAGGGAGAAACCTCCCATCAGTGAGGACAATTAACCAGTGGAACAGCTCGCCACCAGAAGTTGTGCGTGCTCTATCGCTGGAGGTTTTTAAGAAGAGACTGGACAGTCCCTTGTCTGAAATGCTGTAGGTTCTCCTTCTTGAGCATGGGGCTGGACTAGAAGACCTCCAAGGGTCCTTCCAGCTCTATTCTGATTGATAAAGGTGTGAAGATGTAGCTTTTCCCTCAGGTCTTTGGCAAGGGAGGCTGAGACCCACCCCCCTCACTTCAACCCACTTGCCATCATGTTTTATTGATCTTATTGTAATTTTTTTTTTCATTCGTTTCTTTGAAGCGCCCGGAATCTTCGGGAGTTTGGGCAGCGCACAACTTTAATGAAGAATACAACATTTTAAAATGTTACAGAACTATTATTAATTTGGAGGAAAAAAGAGAAAACTCATGGGTTGTCCCTAAATGGTTCCACCCCTATTCTTATTCTTTCCCCAAGTATTACAGATGTTTTCCCCAACCCAAGTTGACCGCTCCTAGATAAGAATATTCCTGACTTCCTGTCTTTGAAAATAAAACTGCAGATGGCAGCCAGGTAAGGGATTAAGGATGTCTTAAGGGCACCCTGTTGACCGTAAGCTCAACCCAGCCATGAGTGTTAAGATAAGACGCCATTTTCTTACAGTTCTCTGGAGATTCAAGGGTAGGATAGCCGCTGCATCCTGCTTGGGCCACCGAGACGAGAAGGTTAGGACACAGGTTCTCCACATTGCTCCCTGCAATAGAAAATCTTCTATATAAAAGCGAAAGACCCCTCGCGCATCATCACAAAATCTCCAGAAACTGTAAAGCCTACAAACTTGAAATTTGGCACCTATGTTCCTCTTGGCTTCTAGGTGCTCACTAAGAAAGGATTTTTCTCGAAATAACCACCAGAGCATTAGTATTTCGTATATTATTATTAACACGCTCTGATGCTAAGGAGTTCTACTCCCCCTCCTCACCTGGAAAGAAATCTGTTCCAAATGCAAAACACAAGCCGAGGAGAGGAGTTTTAGTTTCAGTTTTGGTTTCACAGCACCAAGCAGCTTTAGTACAGAACGGTTGAGCTAAGCCATGCCCAGGCTCCTTGCTGTCTCCTTCTTGCTCACACAGCAAATACTGTCTCAGTTTCCAAACAGTCCTCAACTCTCTCTCACACACGGACAGGACGCTAGCCAGATGAATACTGATGGATGCTGGTAGGCAGAGGCAGAATTCCCCCCCCCGCCCCCTTATTTTCCTCCCCCAAAACTAACCCCAACCACATAGTTTCGTAGTGAAGCACAAGTATCAAGCTAGTTGGGAATAAAGAAAGGGTAGCAATTACCTGGAGAGTATTATTAAAACAAAAACAATTCATTTTTTAAAAAAACAAAGCAGTCTTAAAAGCTTAAAAAAAATTTAAAATGAAAAATAAGAAAATACAGTTTTTGTGATTCCTAGTCTACCTGACGGCCTGATGTGAGGAGGTTGAGGCTGGTAAGGCGAGAGGGGGCTGTTTTGTAAAGATATCACAACTACCTCAGGCCCCAATCTTTTGGGCACCAGGGACCGGTTCCATGGAGAATTTTTTTTCCACAGATCAGGGCGTTTCATCCTATGGATGGGGCTTGTTTGCACGGCCTGGTTTCTGGCATACTGCGTCCCAGTGCTGGACTGGTGTTGGGGACCCCTGAACTAAGATATTTGCCAAGTAACTGCGAGTTCAGGAGGGTGGAAGGAAGAAGCAAGAATATTAAACCTAGAACAGTGGTCGGCAACCAGTGGGCTGGAGACCACTGGTGGTCTGTGAGAAAACTTTGGTGGTCCGCAGAGAAATGTCACCCCCAAAGCAATTAATCCAGGCTGCACAGGAACACAAGGCCCGCAGGAACATAAGGTTTGTGTCATTTCCATTGCAAACAACACGAGGTAGTGAGGGGAGGGGGAAAGGGCGGAGGGGGGGACTTGCCCCTCTCATCCCCTGTGCCTGGCCTGGCTACTGGGCTGCTTCTTTCTGCTCCTTTCTTCTTCTGCTTTTGGCTGCACGCAAGGAAAGCAGCCAAAGTCTTTCTTTCTCTCCCCCAAACTCTGCCAGAAATAAGTCTTTGGGACCTTGCAAGGCTTCCTGCTCCAGGAGGCTTCGCCAGCATGACAAGTCTCACAAAGACTCATTTCTGGTGGACTTTGGGGGAGAGGAGAAAGAAAGACTTCTGCTGCTTCTGCTGCTTTCCTTGCATGAAGCCAAAAGTCTCTCTCTCTCTCCCCCTGAGAACGGAGATGAAGACGGTATCGTGCCATCCCAAATAAAGAATGGTCGATGGATAGGAAAACGGGGTGAGGAATTTTCCTGCAGACTTTTTGGGGGATTTTCCCAGCGTCTATGGTCCGCGGGATTTAAAATTATGAGTTTGATGTTCCCCGAGGTCCAAAAGGTTGGCGACCCCTGACCTAGAGAACTGACCTACAAGTGTGTCTGCTTTTGCGCTGCAGTGGGCAATCGTGTCTCTACTTCAGCCCATTAGGCTCTGTGGCCCTCAATTTATGACTGGTTGCTGCTTAACGATGATTCAAAGTTACGACAGTCCCACAAAAGCCCCTTCTGACCCGTTCTTGAATTTATGACACACATATCCCTTGTGGTAACCTGATTGCCTTTTGTGTGCTTGGCTCACCTTTACATCTTCCTGCAGTTGTTGTGACTACCATTTGCAACATTTGTTTTGCTGGTTTTCAGCATTTACTTTTGATGATTCCAGTTAAAAAAAAAAAAAAACCCAAACACCCGTTGAGGAAAATTGATTTGACGAATGACTGTTGCAAAAAAAATGTTGAAAAATTATAGTCAGTCACATGATTTATGACAGTAACGACTTTCAACTGTAATTCTGGGCTCAGTTACGATCACAAATCAAAGACAGTACTGGTAAGTCAAGCAGAGAAACTGAAGAAGCAGCCGAGTGCCTGCAGGCCAAGAATAGGTGTGAAGTCTCACAGCAAAACTCAGATGGACTTTTGAAATTGCATATTCTAGGAGAGAATGCCAAATGTGGTAGGAAACTAGAAAACAAAGGGATGAGGAACTCTGATCAGCTATAACCTGCTTGTGACAGCTCATTTTTATTACTTCCTCCTTTTACCATTAGGAAATTCTTTGCTTATGGAACCAGCTAAAGTCAGAAATGTTTTGGGTGAGCAGATTTGGAGTGCAAAAATCCAGGAGAACTATTGCTGGTAGCAAAGAGATCCCGAGAGCTGCCATCTCTTGGCCATCCAGACTATTTGCAATATTTGGTCATTCTATACCAGCGGTTTTTCAGCCTTGGTTACTTTAAAAAGCATGGACGTCGACTCCCAGAATTTCCCAAGCTAGCAAGAAGACCATATGACTTAAATGGCCAAGGTTGAAAAACATGACTCTTTACTGAACGTGACTGTGTTTTATAATATTTTATGACCGGCATTTACTGTAAGTAAATTTACTGTGGCAAGAATTGGTTTGCTTTGATCTGCTTTTTGAACATCCCAATTTATAACTGGTATTTCCAGGCTCAATTACAGCCGTAAGTCAAACGTTACTAGTATGCAAGACCTGTTCCCCTAGCCAAAAGGGGCTGAAACATTTAATTCCAGAGCAAATGAGACGATGTATGGAAGCAGCAAAGACAGCCACTTCCTTAATTTGCAGAAGTATAAGGGGAGGGAAGTGCAAGATTTTGTTATTAGAGCCACTCTCAATTTTTTTTTTTAAAAAAATGGTTTTTACATTCCTGCTGAGTCAATTCCTTGATTTGGCTGTTGGGTTCGTCAGCTGCTTCCTGGAGAAAAATGCTCAAGATCACAACTATGAGAGATACACAATCTTGCATTTCTTGGGTGTGGCGTTTTGGCGACTTCAAAAGGGATTTATTTCCAAGTCAGGAGACATGGGAGTTCTGCTTTGTTCCAGAGGATGATTACCCTGTTCTTATCTGAAAAGTTCAGATTTCTGGCTTATTTTGAAATATGCCAGGCTGCCACGCCAACCTAGATTGGACTGCCCTTTGTCAGAAATGGTGTAGGCCGTAGGGTCTCCCGCTTGGGCAGGGGGTTGGAATAGATGACCTACAAAGTCCCTTCCAACTCTGATGATCTGCTGTCTGTTTTGTCAACTCTTGGGCAGGAGAAAAGAAGGGAAAGGTCTACTGGGAGGGCTGTGGGGGGGGTCGCACGAAGATAGAGTCCAAAGTTCTTTTATCCTGTTGGCTGTGCAGCAACACCTCAACCCAACCAAAGGATTGGCCAACCCAAGCGAAACCCCAACCGAAGCCCCCTCCCACCCACCCCCAAGGAAAAATCTTAGCGAAGCGCCGCAGAGAGAATATAGATCGTATGAACGTGGCCGCTGCGCATCTTTGCTGCCCGGCATTAAAAAAGCGTGCAAAAACAGGGGCGCAAGCAGGACCCCAATTGCGCTCCTCCCTCCCCCCGCTGTCCCCCTCTCCCCACCCGCACCTGATGGCTCCTTGTGCCCGGGCGGGAAAAGCAGCTGCCAGTAACGTTGGAACGCCCCGTCCAGCACTTCGCAGCCGGGCGCCACCGCCGAGCCGTTGGCATAGGCGAATCGGAACTGCCGGGAGCTGAGCCGGCATCGGCTCTGAGGGTCCTGGAGGAGCCACTGCGGCTGCGGCCACAGGGCAGCGCCCAAACCGGCCGCCAGGAGCAGGAGCAGCGCGCCCGCCGTGCCCGCCATCCCTGCAGCAGAGGCGGCGGGGCTGCCCCGCTGTGACTAATAGCAGGAAGAAAGCTTCGGGGGTCACGTGACGCAGCCCGGGCCTGTGACGGGCGGCTGGGAGCGACCCCCAGCACGTGCTCGGCCGACGCCCGCCGGGGGGGGGAGGGAGTTTCGCGGGAGGCCGGAGAGATGCGGGGGGGG